CGCAGCCCCGGGCCCCGCCTGATCCGGCGCCGAGCGGAGGCAGCCGAGGCCCCGGCGGGGGCACTGGGAGCCGGGGGCACACAGGCAGAAGGGATGTGGGGACAGCTGGGGAGCGGGCAGAGGGAAAAGGAAAGCGAAAGCCTCCTGCTGGGCTGGTGACCGGGTGAAAGCGCCGCGCGGCCCTCCCGACGCCCGCGGTACCCGGGCCTGGCCCCCCGGGCCTGTGTGGCCGAGCCCGGCGCGCCGCAGACATGGCCATCGCGCACCTGGCCACGGAGTACGTGTTCTCCGACTTCTTGCTGAAGGAGCCCGCAGAGCCCAAGTTCAAGGGGCTGCGGCTGGAGCTGGCCGTGGACAAGATGGTCACATGCATCGCCGTGGGGTTGCCTCTGCTGCTCATCTCGCTGGCCTTCGCTCAGGAGATCTCCATCGGTAAGGCCCGAGCGCCGGAGGGGCGGGCCGGGCCCGGCCGGAGCTAACAAGGGCTGCCCGGGTCTGATGAGATGTGGTTTTGCTGTATACAGGCCTGAATCTCGGCACGCCCCTGGTAGTGCTCCTACCTGCGATGGGCGTGAACGTTGGGAAGGAAGATGACCCCAGTTTTATGGAACGAAGCGTTCTTTGCCCACGTGCTTCATTTGTTTCTCTGTCGACCCTGCTGCATCTCTGTTCCTCAGTTCTTTTGTTCTCTGCGCCCGTTTGAACTATGGCTTAAATTCATGTCCGACTGTGGCAGTCATATGACTAGTACCCTTGCCATCAGATTTGCCAAGTACAACCGTCTTCCCTCTTTCCATCACCCGGCCCCCGCAAACATTTGTATAGCTGCCTAAAATTTTGTACCAGAGAAATTCTCGAGTGTCGAAATGGAGGATGTGAAGACACATGCTCCATGAAGTGTGTTCTCCTTTCACTATCTTACATTTAATTGGTATTTACTGATTCTTTAGCTCTGCAGGTTTGTGAATGATAGGAAACATCATTCACTTGGGATCCTCCACTTGGGATCCTCCACTTGGACGACCTTATTATGAATGTGAGATAAACAAGTCTCCTTTATGCAAATTCTCATTTGATCTTAACAGTTCTGGGAGGTTCAAAAGTCTGGTGGTTTGGGCAGGATCACATGGCTAAGTGACTGGTCTTCCTCAGTGTTGTGAGGCACTCTGCACAGAGGAATCCAAGACCGGAGTTATTTTTATAGCTTTTTTAATAGTTGACAGCTCTTTTTGTTGTTACAACTCTTTTTGGTGTTACAGTGCTTCATTGCTTGCAAGCAAGAAGAGCAGGAGCATTAAGCTCCGTCTCCCTGAATGAGGGAAAAGGCCCGCCTTATATAGCCAAAAACTTCCTGCCCAAGTTCTCATTTAGGTCCTCTTATGCAAATGAGGGATGCAAGTCTGTTAGTCCGGACTGGTTGGCTATGAGACATAGCTCATTGGTCAGCTCCAGAGCCTAATTTGCATGGGTGCAGGAAGCAAGCTAGGTTACAGAAGCTAAAGTTTGCGATTAAGACAGCCAAGCATAAAATTTCTAAATCAGTTTCTCCAGTGGAAGGGAGCAAGTTTAACAATCAGAAAATGCTCAGGGTTCCCCATTACACTCATCAGCTGTTCTGAATTGCAGCACAGGAGAGAGTGTTTATGAATCAACAGGAGGGGTAAAGACAGTTGGTCAGTGGGGCTGGACCTTGCGGAAAGCTTATGTCTGAGGGTGGGTGGCATTTGGATAAGCAAAAGTGAGACCTTTGTCAGGATTTGGAGATGGCAGACAATGTTACATATTTCTGGAAGGGGAGATACAGTGGACTATCCTAGTCAAGGCAGGAGGATTAGTCAGGGCAGGATCTGAGAGTGAATATGGGTTTAGGTCAGATTGGAACATATCACAGACCGATGGTTTCGAGGGTGTGAAATTATTGTTTGAGCAGAGAACAGACTGGTTGAAAACACTACCTAAAACAGAATAGCCTGATGGTGGCTGTAGGGTGTGTGAAGGAGGGGAGAGGATGGAGTTAGGAAGGCCAGATGCTATAAGATGGGGCACCCGTTGAGGTCTTGTGCATGGTTAATGTGAACAGGGGAAGGGAGAGGATGGGTGATTTCTGGGAGAGGATGGGTGATTTCTGAGAGATGAGGGTGCTCTTGGGTACCTAGATTTTAACAGGTCATGAAGGGCCGAGGCTGGTCAAACTTGCTGCAAAGGTTGTATGCTGGGGTGACTGGAAAATGCTGGTCGTGATGGAAATAGTGAAGTTGAGGGAAGAGTTGATTAGAAAAGGGTGATGATGAGTTTGATTTTGTGATCTCCAGCACTCAGTTGTTCAGTGTGGCTGGAGGTTGCCAAATTCATTCTGGAAAATAAGTTTTCAGTTTTCCTGGTTTTTAGGCAGGCATAGTTGTTGGGGTTTCTTTTCATCTTCCAGATGACAGGGAGTTGAGGTTTCCAGCTGAAAGTAGCTTGGAAGTAGCTTGAGTCCTGGAGATAATCTTTCCTTTCAGCAAGTGCCCCTTGACTACCTGCTGTGTGCTGAACCCAGTGCCAGGCACCACGGACCCAGGAATAAATAAGGCACAGTCCCTGTCCTGGAAGAAAAACTCTTGGGCACTTGGTGGGGACAGAGAGCCAGAGGGAGGAGTTGGTCACCCTCTGTGACCAAGCTCCACCTCTAGCCACATACTAGAGGGATTCCTAAGGTACCTGCACCAGTAGTGCCTTAGATATATCCAAACTGATGGGTTGTATGAGAGACATTTGTTTGGGGTTGGGAGTGAGTTCGCCCAGAAAGGGTCTGAGCTCATGCTGTGTGCATAGCATTGCTGTTCGTTGTGGAGGATGGGAAGGAATTTTGAGACAAAGTCCTCTCCCTGCAGTGTGTAATCAGTGACAAGATGGGTATTGATCTCTGAGGTTTGGGTAGGTGAACGCTGGCAGGCAGTTGGTGAAGAGCTGTAGAGCAGATTTCAGTGTCTTCTAAAGTGCTTCAGGAGTTCCAGTGGGAGGACAGGCATGTGGGTTGAAGTTATTAAGACCAGAGAAGACCTATCAGATTGAGTACTGTGTACATTTAGAACCAGAAGAAGGGCTTTAGAGAGGATGGGACAGGTATGTAAATTAATATGTGGAGTTGGTAGAGTGGGATCACGTCATACAGTATTTAATCTTGTGCAGTTTAGCTGTATGCACTAAGCCAAAAACTGACCAAAAAAGAACAGCAACACAGAGAGAGGGGTAATTTAAATGGACCAGCACTTTGCCCACCTCATTGATCAATGGACGCAGGCCCCAGAAGGAGTTAGATAGGACTTGCAAACTTAAAACATGACTTCATCTCCCCTCTCTTGAGAGTTACTGCCTCCCTTTCTGGTGCCTGGAATACTCTCACTGCCGTACTTACACACTGCATTATAATCTGTCCATGTGACTGCCTCATCTGTGAGATACTTAATCTTCCAGTGATTTCCCCAGAACCTGGTGTCTTGCCTGGCACAGTGAGGGCACTCTATAAACATTTGTTGAGTGAATGAAAGGTGATAGGTTTTGGCAGCATCAGACATTTACTGAGCCTCGTGCATGGTACTGTTCCTTGGCAATGAGGTGTCAGATATTTGTAAGACACAGTCCGCCCCTTGGAAGTATGACCTAGCAGAGAAGTTGAACATGTCAGAGGATGTTGAACATGTCAGGAATCCCTCCTGACAGAGGATTCATGGAATCTGGGCGGTGTCCGGGTGTGTGCTAAAGACTGGTGCAGTGGGAAGGCAGAAAGGAGGGGCTTCTTTTAACTCAGAGGAACAGCCAAGGGTTCAGGGCTGAGAAGAGTTTGAGTTGAGCTTGGAGGCAGGATTCCAGGTATAGGAGCAGTGCAAGCTGAAGCCGGGAGGCACGAGATGGCATGTGGCTGTTGGAGCTTTAGGGGCACAGTCGCACAGAGGTGGGGGTCGAAGTTAGGATACCAGGGATTGACATTAGAAGGGGCGCAGCAAATCTCGTTTCCCTGTTTGCACTGGTGTGTGTGTATGAAGTTAGAAATGGGAAAATCAACTTTAATGATTACACATATCAATTTTTCTCTTTTCCACTTGTATTGATAGACTAGTATGTATAAAAATTCATTCATTGTGAATATACAATCCTCTTAAGCATAAGATAAATTTTATTTTTTCAGTTACTTTCTGAAAAGTAAATTTTCCATTAACTGGTATTCTGTAAATAGGAATCAGTTTGTAACTGTGGTAATTTTGCTTTAAAGAAACATTTTTACTTTAAAGAAAAGATTCTAATAAATCAAAAAATTAGCATGGATTGTTTTTTAGATGTAAGAGAGGGTTTTGTGTGTGTGTTGGGGAATGTCCTCATGTGATAAAATGTATTTTGCTTCATATTGAAGGCCTCCCATTAGTCTTTGGCTCATTTTCTCACTAGCTCAGTGTACTGGGCTCCTCTCAGAATAGAGGAACAGACCCTGCCCAGGCCACAGATTCTCACAGGCATGGCAGCAAGCTGCCCTTGATTAAGGCCCTTAAGGAAAGGGTGTCTAGTCTGCTAGAGATCCTTCTCTCCCCACCATCCTCCCCAGCAGGCCTCCCCATGGGCAGCTGGTCTTGGTCTTTCTGAGTTAGCTGCTCTTTCGCTATCATTGCAAGGCAGGCATTGGGCCAGCCCTGGTGAGTCAGAGGACAGATATAACTGCAGCTGCTTCCAGTACCATTTATTTGCAGTTGCCCTTCTACTTCCTGCAACTGAGTCAGCAGCTGGGCAGCTTAAGTCATCTGTTCTGTTGTGACTGAGTTTAGGTACATCTTTGGGAATATCATCAGACTGCTTTTTAGCATGTATCAGCTGGGAAAGCTGATTGATTATTTTCGGAAGTGTCTGTAAGAGTGGGCTAATGTTTAGATCTCATGGCATAGGTCCCATAACAGCACATTCTCAAGTCACACTTAGAACCAAAGAACCTAGAGACTCTAAAGCCTTTCCAGAAGGAGGCGTGCTGCCAGAGACACTACTGTTGAATACATGTTTTACTTCATTAGTGCTTGTGTTGTGTTTTTCTTGTACAAGTAGTCGCAACATATATTCTCATGGTAGAGGATTCATGAACCTTCTTCACCGTGTGGTAGAGGTAGCTACTGTGGACACTTTGTACAGATTCATTGTTTTCTTTCTCTGCATTTTTTTAAATAGGAAGGCGGAACAATATTCCATAGCATATATTATCATAATGCATCTAAGCAGTCCCCTAGTAGACATTCATGTTTTTTCAAAATTTCTACTATTGTATATAAGGCTTATTCGTGTATGAATCTTTGCAAGTACTCCCACTCTGCCAACATAGAAAGGAAAGTAGATAAGAACAGTATCAGTCTCCAGAAGAATGAAATCAATTTCCAGGAGAGTTTTGCATTCCTGAGTTCCTGTTTCAAGTAAGT